TCTGTGTCCATTTAGGAAAACTGGTTATAGCTCACTGGGAATAGGAATAAAGGATTGATTAAGACCATGAAGACCAGGTGGGACAGGAATGAGGAAGGAAAAGCCAGACAGAAGAGGCTGTTTAAAACCACGTTAGAGCATCACCTAGATCTCCTGTGTATCTGTTGTTATTGGAGAGCAAGATTTTCTTTCTGGCAGTGATCTCAATCTCTCTGCTTTTCAGATATCGTAGGCATGGCAAAGGGATCAGGGATCATACAATAGTGAACATTTGTGATTTTCCTGCTCAGTAGCCTCCGACCACCCTTTTCTGTGTACCGACAGTTTTTAAAATAAAACTTCCTTTCTTTGCTTTCAGGTCTAATAGTTTGGCAGGGAGGGGTGAACCCACCTGCTCCAAGGGACAGTGATACCCTGGGGACAGTAATGACCTTAGGGATGAGGAGCTGATTAAATTCAGGTGTGTGAGGACCAGGCTCTTAGATTTTGTTCTGGTTGTTAGGAGATTAAGGATCTTTTTTTTTGACTGGCTTCTAATTTAAAGAATGGGAGCCCAATGCTGCTGGCAGCCTTTTGCCACCATTCGTACCACGTTGAAAATGGCGCCAACAGAGAACCAAGGGCAATAGGCAGTTCGAGAAAGACCTGGTTCTAATGCCTTTATTTGGGCCTCTGTTTTTCAGTTACATCATTCAGCAAATTGTTTTTTTTTTTTTTTCTGTTTGTATCTTATGCCATTTTATGTCTACTTATCAGTTACAACAAAAAAGCTCCCAAATGATTGTGGCTGTGTTGGAAAATATCCATTCTCCTCTCTTTCCAGAGTAATGGAACTATGGTGACCAACTGTTTAACATTGAAAATCCTGTGTCTCATGGGAGCCCTAAATTCCAGACAAACTAGGATCATTGGTCACGCTAGAAGGCTCATGGGTTGCTGGGAATAAAGCCTACATTTTTCTAGCTTCTTATACCCTGGTACGGCCATATGATTAAGTTCTAGCTAGTTGGATAAAAGTGGAAATGGTCAATACAGCTTCCAGGAAATGCCCTTACGAGGAGAGAACATGATCTGCCTTTCTTCCTTTCTACTGGCTGGAATATGAATATAATGCCTAGACTTCCACAAACCACCTTAGATCAAGAGCTGATTTCCTTCCTTAGGAAGGAAACACTTGTGGCAGAACAACAAGATGGAAGAAATCTGGCACCCTGACACCATGGAGTGCTTATACAACTCTGGACTGAAAACTTACAGATTTCTGGAATCTGAGAGAGCAATGAGCATCTGTCTTCAGCCTCTGTGGTTTTGTCTATAACTCACAATTAATTCTAATTCACTGATAGAATGTCTAATTGAAAAAAGCCCTTTCTGGTGCGCCTGGGTGGCTCAGTCAGTTAAGCATCTGCCTTCAGCTCGGGTCATCATCTCAGGTTCCTGGGATCGAGCCCGACATTGGGCTCTCCATAAGTGGTGAGTCTGCCTCTCCCTCTCCCTCTGTGAGCTTTCAGTCACAAATCACAAAATTGCGTACTGCTGTTCTCTTCCTCTAATGGTAGTTTTCTTAGATATGAGGCCTGTAATAGCTGCAGCCTTTTACAATCAGGCTGAGGGTAAAGCCAACATACAAAAAATGCAGAGCCAAAAGACTTGCAGAAAAATGGAGCTAGGGCTGCTGATTTAAGTCAGCACTGAAGCCTGTCCTACCTCTGGGACTCATTTTCCAAACCATTTATTTCCTCATTGTTTAGATTGTAGTTGATTTTTCTGAGAACTGCAGTCAAAATTATTCTGCCTAATAGCGCCTGGGTGGCTCAGTGGGTTAAGCATTCCACTTGTGATTCCGGCTAAGGTCATGACCTCATGGTTGTGAGAATGACCTCCACATCTGGCTCTTTGGTGAGTATGGAGCCTACTTAAGATGCTCTCTGTCTCTCCCCCTCTGCCCCTCCCCTTCTACAGTGTCCCTCTCTCTTTCTCCCCCCCCCGCAAAAAGTTAAAGTCCACAATCTTTAACATGGCATCAGAAGCCTTGCCTGATATGCCCCTACTAACATATACCCATTCTGTATTTTTTTTTTTTGTTGTGGGCAACAGAAACTGACTCTAATTAGTTTCAGGATAAAGATATGGGAAATTATCAAGAAAAAGTTGAGTAACCAAGATTTAGGGAGCCAAAGAAACCCAAGTCCTCCCCTAGGAACCTCTGTAGCAGCAGATGGGTTTCTCCCTGGAGCACTGACATTAGTATGATTAGTCCTGTCTCTGTGCTTCTCTCTTTAGTGTTTCAAATTACCTGGAGAAAGAATCTGATTGACTTGGTTTCTGTCCGATTTTTACCTCTGGATCTATCTATTATCTACCATTTGATCTATCTCCACAAAGGCCCTTCTGTCTTGTTTATTACCATACACCTGTGCCTGGTATCGAGTAGGTGCTCATTAAACACTGAATTAATGAGCAACTAATTGAATAAATGAATTGGCCATGGCCAGAAGATGGGGTCAATTAACATAGATATGGCCAACAGAAGCTCACTCCAGGGTTTGAAGTTTATTTCCATGGTTATGAGTGGGGCATCCACCTTAAGAGATAGTCTTAAAGCTCACCTTGTTCCACTTTCCCCCTCACACTAGGACCATTTGGCTTCCTTCCATTCCTCCAAACTGCCAAGCAATTTCCAAACTTAGAGTCATTGCATATGCTGTTACTGTTCTGGTTATAGATTTATTGACTATGAGCTCTAAATTTATCCTTTTTTGCCTCTTCTATGAGAAAAATGAATGAATGAATGAGCCGTTTAAGTATTTTTTGGTAAGCTGATACGATGTTAAACATTGTCAGTAGAGGGAACTAGAGAGACACTGCAAGAGACAAAAAGTCTTCCTGGTCCAAAATTTTATTAAATTTAATTAATTTCCTCTTAACTAATTGGATTTCATCCAATTATATATTAGCGATGAGGATAATGGTACAAATAGATCAATCATTTATTTTAGAAGATAATTTGGTAGATTCATAATGAGTTATTAATTTCTTTGAGAAGTTTTTTAAATCTAGCATATTTTTACAGGTTTTTTTAAAAGTAAAAATAACTTGGGACGCCTGGGTGGCTCAGTTGGTTAAGCGGCTGCCTTCGGCTCAGGTCATGATCCCAGCGTCCTGGGATCGAGTCCCACATCGGGCTCCTTGCTCATCAGGGAGCCTGCTTCTCCCTCTGCCTCTGCCTGCCATTCTGTCTGCCTATGCTTGCTCTCTCTCCCTCTCTCTCTCTCTGACAAATAAATAAATAAAAATCTAAAAAAAAAAAAAAAAAAGTAAAAATAACTTATAAAGTTGGAGAAAATTACTCATTTTCTTTTTTAGGCCAGGGTTTTTTTGGCTTCAAGTATTTTCTTCAGTGCCTTTCATGGTGGGGCTGGCTGTTACCTGTTTATATCTATGGTGAGACACTCTTCTTCAGATGCTTACTTTGGTATGGTCTTGCACAAATCACAAAATTGTGTACTGTAGGGTTTGGAGCAGTTCACAGTCAAATTCTGTCCCATTTCTTCATCTGGAGATGAAGGGCTGTACTATATGCTCTCACATCCCTTTCAACTCTCTGAAAACAAGCACATACTTGAGTTATCGGTTGAGCAATAATTCCCAGTGTCAACTATGCTTTCTACTAAAAGTCCATGGTTGTTGAATGAATTATTGGAATTGTAAATTTATTTAAAATAAACACCGAGGTGCCAAATGTTTATTAGAGTTTTGATTCTTTAGCCATACTGATCATAAAATGCAACCTTCCTGGCCTTTACATGCATTACAAGACAGTAATATACTGACAAGATAACACAGAATCTTAAAACTAATAAACATCTGAATACTTATGATTCCTGTCCATCCCCTATGTTTAGAGTGAACTGAAGGAGAAAGAAACTGTTACAAAGATCAGCTAAGAAGCCACTGTGATTAATCACTTATAAATCACAACACTATCACATTCCCTATTTTTAGTATTGCCTATTAAAGAAAAACTATCTTTCATAAAAAGTAAGATAGAATAGAAATTTTTCAAGATGTACTTTGTCCAAATGAAAAACTAAACACGAGTTAAGATTTGTTTGGCAAGAGGCAAGAATATAGAGAATGAAAAGTAGAAATTAGACTCGTAGACTAAGTGCTTTAAAATTCATTCTTGAGAGGATGAACTTCACACATAATGAGCGCATTGAGGGTTGAGATGTGTGGCAATGGAACTTTTTGTAAATGCAAAATTTTGGTACTACTGGACGCGAGACGGTTAAAGTACATTAATACGAGCCAGCCAACGCAGTTCAGAAATAAAACAAACCCAGGTGCTAAAATTAGGATTTGGAAAAGGGACACTCAACACAAGCAGACTAGGAACGCCTACTAGTGTTTGGAGCTCTCCACCCAGACACACAATAACCCCTTGAAGACTTTTATGTGCCGCAAGGGGGCTGTCAGGCTTTCCATTTCTGACCGGGAGGTTATAATCATTTTATTTTAGGCAACGCCCTCACTACAAGGCCAAATGAGGACAACCCAACTTCTAGAGCTTCCCGTCTGCCCTACAGACCACAGCTGCCTCGAGCCAGAGACCCAACAGCAAGATCCGCCAGCCAACCACCTCCAGCCAGTCGCATCCACCCTCTCCTCCCAGCGCCCGCGGAGAAAGCTGGCTTCCCATTGGACCAATGTGAGGGCGTGGACAGCTCCCCGATAGGTTTAGAGGAGGGGGCGGGAGAGAGGTGTACTCTGACGTCATGCTCGCCGCTAAAGTATACCTCTTGCTCGGGATTATGGGAGGGAGGGCAAGTCAGAAAGGGAGAAAATAAACGGTAACCACATTTACCCGCCAGTGCAAGCCCTCTTACGGAGCGGGGGTTCCTTCCCACCAGCCGGGCGAGCTCCGCCCTCACGCCCCGCCTGCGCCGGGAAATCAGGTGACCGCGGGCTGGCGCAGTCACGTGGCTGGGGCGCGCCCGCCCGTTGTGGCCATGGCGGCCGCTGGTTCCAGTGTGGTGAGGCGAGTGGAAGAGCTCGGGGACCTGGCTCAGGCCCACATACAGCAGCTTAGCGAAGCCGCCGGCGAAGATGGTGAGGGAGCCGAGGAGAGGGGGGCGGGCGGGCGGGCCGGCCATAGTTCAAAGCTGGCGCTCTATGGCGGTAGAGGCTGGAGGCTTCGGCCTGTGGGCAGTATAGTTCCCAGACCAGAGCTCCCCAGGGTGTTGGGCTTCTGACCCTCACTGCAGGGTCGGTTGTCTCCAGGAACTCACGTTCCGTTATGCTAGGGCATTTGCGTCGAAACTGCATCTTTTCATAACCCATGACAACTGCTTACATCTCAAATCCGTGCTGCTCGTCTTTATCTTGCTAGCGACTGGGAAAAGGTTAAGATCTGGAAAAAAGTATAGAAGTTTAAATGAGTGTTTGAAGGTGCCTGGTAGTACACAAATCAGCAATGGTTGTTTTGGATGCAGTGAAGGTAGCTAGACGCGCCTAACAGTTCCACTTTTTCATTGCTGTGTTATACATTTCTTCTGTTTTGGATTCTGAATCCAACTGTAAATAGTATTCTACGGAAGAGCTTTACATTGGTATAGTTTAGATGATTCTTTCATATACTTCATCTCAATTCTCATAAGGGTAGCATTAGAACACTTGTTTGGAAGCGTCTAAATGGTTTTCTTCGGACAGACTGGCTTAGAGAATTACCTGGACTGTTACTTATTATTATTATTATTTATTTATACATTTATTTTTCTCGACTTTTAGTTTTAAGTCCAATTCTCTTTTATTACATTTCAGCTTCCTATAGGTTCTACATTATTTTCTTTTTGAGTTTTGAGCCATTATGCAGGTAGGTTTTTAAATTTTTGTGGACTGACTCATTGTCATCGGACTCACAGGAAAATAGTAGTGAAACATTTTGCCAGATGATTGATTGTTGGTGAATTTATTGAGTAGGGCCCACAATGAAATGGCTCAAGTTCCAGTGAAAATTATTTGCTGGATTATCTTTTCTTAGGAGTATGTTCTTAAAAACCGACAGATCACCCTGAAGCTCATTTCTTTTTTGGTACATGGTAAGCGTATCCCAGGGTTTTGGATTGTAGTGGCTATTACCAGAAAGTGTATCCAGATTACCTCTAAATAAACTATACAGTGATCTCCACCCCACCCCCGCTCCATTTAAACCAGTCTGAAGAGATGGAAGAGTGTTTTTATTCATTTATCACTGAACCCGAAAAGCCATTTTCATTTTCCCATGGAAGAGTTCTTTAATCTAGACTAGAATGAGCAGTGGAAGTAAAAGTAAAGTGCTTTATATTTTTGTTGGGAGATTTTATTTTTAAAGATTTTATTATTTTTTTTTTAAGATTTTATTTATTTGACAGACAGAGATCACAAGTAGGCAGAGAGGCAGGCAGAAAGAGAGGGAAGCAGGCTCCCTGCTAAGCAGAGAGCCTCATGCGGGGCTCGATCCCAGGACCCTAGAATCATGACCTGAGCTGAAGGCAGAGGCTTTAACCCACTGAGCTACCCAGGCACCAAAAGATTTTATTTTTAAGGAATCTCTACATACAACATGGGGCTCGGACCTATAACCACAGGATCAAGAGTTGCATGCTCTACCGACTGAGCCAGTCAGGTGCTCCTTGTTGGGACACTTTAAAGTTGTGAAAATTTACTAAAATTAAAATGATAGTGATCCATGTTATGAGCCATTAATCAGTATTAATAGCAAGATATTTTTATTTTATGAAGTTTAAATAAAACGTGGTTTCATGTTTGAACTGAACTTGGCGTTCTTTTTTTTTAAGATTTTATTTATTCAAGAGAGAGAGAAATCAAGAGACAGAGCATGAACAGAGGGGGAGAGGCAGAGGAAGAAAGAGAAGCAGACTCCCCACTGAGCAGGGAGCCCAGAGAGCTTGACCCCAGGACCCTGGGATCATGACCTGCATGGAAGGCAGATGCTTAACGGACTGAGCCACTCAGCTGCCCCTGAACTTGACATTCTTTTCCACACAACAAAAATAATATTCACTCAAAATGTGCCCTTTAATGTAACAACTATGTATTTTTATTAAGTTATAGGGATTGATAGTTCCTATTTTCTGCTTCAGATCAGATTAGATGGAATGTGGCTACATATTCCATCTAAGAATACTCTATTACTGAATCAATTTTTATTTCTCATTATACAAACATGCTGTGTTTACTATATGGAGGTATGCCATGAGATGGACTTTTTTTTTTTTTTTTTAAAGATTTTATTTATTTATTTGTCAGAGAGAGAGAGGGTGAGAGAGCGAGCACAGGCAGACAGAATGGCAGGCAGAGGCAGAGGGAGAAGCAGGCTCCCTGATGAGCAAGGAGCCCGATGTGGGACTCGATCCCAGGACGCTGGGATCATGACCTGAGCCGAAGGCAGCTGCTTAACCAACTGAGCCACCCAGGTGTCCCGAGATGGACTTTTTTTCAGGATTATGTAATAATCACTTGTCTGTCCCTTGCCAAGTGTTTCTTTGACTGAATGGTTCTGGTGAAAGTATTGCATTTTATAAAAGTTTGCTAAAATGTGAGCCATTATCCCCCCTCCACTGTACTTATGAGTTTATGTGAGCTACTCCTTCAGCAATGGTTTACTGAATTCAGTGCAAGTCTTTACATTTAAAATAATCTTGCAATTTAAAAAGAAAATACCAACTCAGTTTCTAAAGAAGCACAATAAGGAGTGCCATGTTCCATATAATTTCACTTCACAGTAGTCTTTTTTTTTTTTCAGGGTTGAATAGATGCTACTTCTGGGCTGTGGAGGGAGGGCAGTGCTAACAAAGTATCTTTAAGTTCATGTGAATAGTGGACTTTTAAAGCAATCAGAGGGGCAACTGGGTGGCTTGGTTTAGCGTCTGCCTGGGGCTCGGGTCATGATCCCAGGGTGAGTCCCACTACGGGCTCCTGTTTGGCAGGGAGTCTGCTGCTCCCTCTCCTTCTGCCCCTGTTCAGTCTCTCTCTCTCCCTCTCTCTCTCTCATGCACTCTTTCTCTCAAATAGATAAATAAAATCTTAAAAAAAAAAAAAAGTAAAAGCAATCAGAATCTGATTTAGATACAGATTAGGCCTCACCTAGGAAAACTTGAGGTCATCATATGATTACCAGCAGATACCACTAAAGCTGGTAGTGCCTTTACTTCAACAGTGACAGCTTAGCTATTTGTATTTACAAATGTATTACATTTTCTGTCCATTGGCTAGTGTTGGAAAGGGTTCATACTTCAGAAAGGAAGCGCAGAGGGGCAAACTCAAGGACTTCAGTATCTTAATGGTGGCCATGTCTAAATTTGACATGAGATGGTACAGAGGGTAGATACCTAGCACCTTGGTATGAACACTTTGTAGGTTAGGGAGGAAAAATCCATAAGAAAAAGTGAAACCATAAAAACAAAGGGAATATGACATTAAAGAAAAGGGAGAAAGTGGACAATGTAGAGGGGAGAGAGGGTGAATTGTTTTTAGAGGACATATTAGAATACTCAGTTCCTTCTTTGAAAGAATTAGGTAATTTTTTCCATTTCTAGGTTTTTAAAGGAATAAAATATGCAGATAGATTATATAATTTTAATTAATTGTAACAGCTATTTGCATATATAAATACACAGACACGGGATAAAGTTATAATTGCTCAGCTTACATTTTGTGAGGCATTTGATTTAATCATGTTTTAGAAAATTCATTTATGAAATTACAAGTTCAGTGGAAGCCCTTTGTGTAGATTTATGTATATTGCTTGTACTATTCCAATAAAAGTTAAATTTATTACTTAAACATTGTGTGAACATCATAAAAGCAGCATCATGAAAATGAAAATACAAATTGCATTTAAGAAATGACAACTGAATCTAGAAGTCCATTCTAGCTCTCCAGAATAAATTACCATGATAAATTTGTTAAGAAGGATTAGGCATTATGACATTTCATGTTTTTGGGGGTTTTTAAAGATTTTTTCCATTTATTTGACAGAGAGACAGTGAGAGAGGGAACACAAGCAAGGGGAGTGGAAGAGGGAGAAGCAGGCTTCCCGCCGAGGAGGGAGCCCAATTCGGGGCTCAGTCCCAGAACCCTGGGATCATGACCAGAGCTAAAGACAGATGCTTGAGGACTAAGCCACCCAGGCGCCCCAGTACTTCATGTTTTACAAAGATATTATTAATACCATGCTGCTTCAGTGCTATAACATAGTATCATTTCAGGTACACTTTTTTCTCTTTAACATTTTGAAACTATATGAACTAATCTTCACGTTTTTATCTTTTACAGATCACTTTCTAATTCGGGCCTCTGCAGCTCTAGAAAAATTGAAACTTCTGTGTGGAGAAGACAAAGAATGTTCAAATCCATCAAATCTTCTAGAACTTTACACACAGGTACTGAAACAGATGTGATTTCTGACATATTATGGAGAACATTGCCTATATGAGATGACTGACTCCGAAGTTTAGATGTGGCGAAACCAGTTTATTCTCTATTTAAAGTGTTTGACTTGGGGTGCACCTGGCTGACTCAGTTGGTAGACCACACAGCTTTTCATCTGGAGGTTGTAAGTTAGAGCACCATGTTGGGTGTAGAGATTACTTCTAAATAATAACTTTAAAATAAAAACAAAGTGTTTAATTTTTGTCAAAAAGACCTGTATATATAAAACATATGGACTTGAAATTTTGAGGCGATATACAAAAAAGTAAGAGTTATTATCTAATGTATTAAGGTAAAAAATCTTGGAGATCACAGAATTGCTTCTCTTTGTATATAATTAAGCCAACTCAAATACATGCAATTTCCAAGTTCGTGAAGGTTATTAGGAAAGAATGAAGATCTCTGTCAAGTCCCTGATTATTTTTTCCCCCTGAAATTTATCTTTTCTTAGGATTTTCAACATAACTCTTCTGCAAGTGTCATGTAGGTCTATAAGATTTTTCTGTGCCCCACCCCCATTTTTACTTTAAAATTCCAGTGACTTTGTGGACAAGACCTATTTTCTTGGTTTTTTCAAACACTGCTGAGGCAAGTTGACATTAAGAAACCTAATTCCATTATGTAACTAACATTCCTGTAGCACTTTATAGTTGACAGAGTGTTTCCCATGCTCTTACATGATTGCGAAGATATAATAAAGATGAAGTGGTTATAGGAACTAAATTTAGGTAAGCTTCCAAAGTACACATGTGTAGCACTTAGGTGCCTGGCACTCTGCTTTCTGTTAGGAAGCTGGATTCTGCCTTCAGATATCATGGTTCAGTGAGCCTATAAAAACTGTACTCACAAACCCCAAAGGCCCGCTGTTACTTGACAGAGCTTTGCCTGGCTTTCTTTCCCTTTGGAAGACTCCATGCTTGTTTCATGTCTTTCACGTGGGAGAGTTCTAAACATTTTATTTACTTATTATTAATATTTTTTTTAGTAGGCTCCATGCCCAACATGGGGCTTTAAACTCATGACCCTGAGATGAAGGGTCACATGCTCTACTGACTGAGCCAGCCAAGTGACCCTAAATGTTTTAATTTACTCCTAAAGATAAGATGAAAGGCCTAGAGATATAGATTTAAATTCTCTAGGCTTCCTTGGACCCTAATTTTGGTTCTGAATCAACAGGTAATTATCCATAAGATAATGATCTTGCCCTTTGTGGCTTAAGCCTTCCAAAGAAGAACACTTAGCAATTAAGTAATCCTGTGTGCTAGTTCGTGTTCTGTGTGCTTTACAGATGTTAATTCATTTTATCCTCAGCAAGGAGCTTTGAAAAGCAATTTCTTCATTTTACCAACAAAAGAAAGTAGTCTTGTCCTGGGTTAGTTAGGTGATTAGTGGTAGAACTCAGTTTCCTTAGTCTTAGTCCAATAAATTAAAAAAAGAGAAAGGGGGGCACCTGGGTGGCTCAGTGGGTTAAAGCCTCTGCCTTCAGCTCAGGTCATGATCCCAGGGTCCTGGGATTGAGTTCCGCACTGGGCTTTCTGCTCAGTGGGGAGCCTGCTTCCTCCTCTCTCTCTCTCTGCCTGCCTCTCTGCCTACTTGTGATCTGTCTGTCAAGTAAATAAATAAATAAATAAAACTTTAAAAAAAAAATTAAAAAAAAAAGAGAAAGGGTTGGTTAGTTTTAAGGTACTTGAACAGAGAGAGCACCCCTGTATTTAGGAATGCTAGGGATTTGGTGTTTAAATTGCATAATGTTGGTGATAATGCTACCTTTATTGGGTGGCAGGATACATATCACCCAAATGCTGGTTCTGCACTTGAGGAAACAAATCCTTTGAAGATTAAATATGTAAAACTAGAGCTATTGACCTTAAATTGATATAGCAAGCATTGAGAAAATGTTCAAGAAGTATTATGTGTAAATTGCAAAGAGCATAATTTTATTTTTCATAATTATATCATATGTGATTAGCTTATCCAAAGTCTCCATTCTATTTACTTATTTTTTTGAGAGAAGCAAGATCATTAATTCAGTATTTTAGTAAAATACCTATGAAGTTTCCTATAAAGCGCATCTGATTATATTTTCTATATATTTACAGATTCTTTACATATACAGATAATATTTTTTAGACATTTTTCCTACTTTTCAAATATAAATATTGTGCTGAAGATTTAACTGTCTAATAAAGCATCTGTATATGTAAGGTTAAACTGTAAGAATTACTCATGTTTTTATGAATATTCTTTTTTTTCCCTTTTATATCAGGCAATTTTGGACATGACATATTTTGAGGAGAACAAACTAGTAGATGAAGATTTTCCTGAAGATTCTTCACAGAAAGTAAAAGAGCTGATCAGTTTTCTTTCAGAACCAGAAATTTTAGTTAAAGAAAATAATATGCATCCAAAAGTAAGTTTTGCAGTCCTGTAAATTTTAGTGAAATGGTGCTGATTCTTGCTGTATTGCTCTTCAGAGTCTGTAATTTTTCTTCCGGAATGTGTGTTTGTCTCTATTTTAAATTAAGATTAAAGGAGGGATATATGAGAGTTTAACACTTCAGACCAACATCATAACTAAAGTATCACATATATGTTTCAGAATGTTTGCATGATGGAATTGTGTTGGAATTGATGGTGCCTGATCATTTTCTAAACACAGATATTTGCTGTTTCTGTTCCCTTTACTTTTGCAGGTACTGTTTTCCCTAAAGTCCCTAGTGATCTAATTACCACATCTCTTATGTCCTTTTTACAGTTCTCATCCCCCTGGACATTTGCTCCTTTCCTTCCCATTGATTACCCCATCCGTTTGAGGTCCTGCAGGCTCCTCTTCATGTCTCAGGGCCTTGCTCTTATTCTTTCCCAGGCATCTCCCCTCTCTCCCATCCTGGAAGGATAGGCCCTTGCCAAGGGTATCTTCCTCATCTCTGACCCTCTCTGTTCTGTCTTTGCTTCATAACTTGTTCACATGCTTTTCGGTGTCCTGTTTAGATGATTCCAAGATTTTTATCTCTAGACCCAGCTACTCTTTTAAGCAAATAATTCTTTAACTGCCTGCTGCCTCTCTTTACCTAGGATATTTTTTTTTCTCTATGTGTTTATCAGGGGATGCTAACTGTGGAAACACATAATCCCAAATTTTAAATGATACATCATAGTAAAAGTTTGGTTGATTTATTTTTTTTTTTAATAGGGATAAAGAATGAAATCACAACGGCCTCATTTTAGAAATCTTAACTCAGGAAATAGCCTTATTTATTTATTTAATATTTTATTTATTTGAGAGAGAGAAAGAGTGTGTGCACATGTGAGGGAGCAAGAGTGGAGAGAGGAGGGGCGGAGGAAGAGGGACAAGCAGGCTAGGATCATGACCTGAGCTGGAGGCAGATGCTTAATGCACTGAGCCACCCAGGCGTCACTAAAAGTTCGATTTATTAAAACTGTTTTTTTATATATCTTCATTATTTTATTCTAGCAGTTGTACAGATAAGTGTGATCTTGTTTCAGGTAACATATTTCTGAAAAGTTACCCTTTTTTAAAGTTATTTTTTTTTTGAGGTATTGTTGACATACAATGTCACATTAGTTTCAAGTGTACAAGATAGTGATTCAACAGCTCTGTATGTTATGCTATGCTCATAAGTGTAGCTACATCTTACAAGGCTATTTCAGTACCATTGTACCTTTTTCCCCTGTGACTTAACTCATTCTATAACTGGAAGCCTGTACTCACCTTCACCCATTTTGCCCATCCCTCTGGCAACCATCATTTTGTTCTCTATTTATGAGTCTGATTTTGCTTTTTGTTTGTTTTTTCATTTGTTTTGGTTTTTTTTAGATTTCACATGTTAGTGAAATCATGTGGTATTTGTCTTTCTCTGTCTGACTCACTTCACTTAGCATGATACTGAGTCTGCCCATGTTGTCAAAAATGGCAAGATCTCATTCTTTTTTATGGTTAAATAATAATCCTTTGTATGTATACACCACATCTTTACCCATTTATCTATAGATGGACATTTGGGTTGCTTCCATATCTTGGCTATTGTAAATCATGCTGCAATAAACATAGGAGTGTGTGTTTTTTTTCAAGTTAGTCTTTGTTTTGGGTAAATACACACTAATGGAATTACATACTAGTGGATCCGTCAGTGGATCAGATGGTAGTTCTGTTTTTAATTTTTTGAGGAACCTCCATATGTTTTCTACAGTGGCTGCACTGATTTATATTCCCACCTACAGTGTATGATGGTTCCTTTTTCTCCACATCCTTACCAACACTTGTTATTTCTTTCTTTTTTTTTTTTTTTTAAAGATTTTATTTATTTATTTGACAGAAATCACAAGTAGGCAGAGAGAGAGGAGGAGGCAGGCTCCCTCTCGAGCAGAGAGCCCGGTGCAGGGCTGGATCCCAGGACCCTGGGATCATGACCTGAGCCGAAGGCAGAGGCTTTAACCCACTGAGCCACCCAGGCGCCCCCACTTGTTATTTCTTGTCTTTTTGATTCTAGCCATTCTGATAGGTACAAGGTGATATCTCGTTGTTTTGATTTGCATATCCCTGATGGTTAGTGATGTTGAGCATCTTCATGTGCCCTTTGGCCATCTCTGTATGTCTTCTCTTGAAAAATATCTGTTCAGGTCCTCTGTTCACTCTTTGGTCAGATGATTTGGGTTTTTTTGGTGTTAAGTTGTATATGTTCTTTTTTTTTTTTTTAAGATTGTATTTATTTATTTGACAGACACAGATCACAAGTAGGCAGAGAAGCAGGCAGAGAGAGAGGAGGAAGCAGGCTCCCTGCTGAACAGAGAGCCCGATGCGGGGCTAGATCCCAGGACCCTGGGATCATGACCTGGCCTAAGGCAGAGGCTTTAACCCACTCAGCCAGCCAGGCCCCCCAGTTGTATACATTCTTTAATGTTTTAGATATTAACACCTTACTGGATATATCATTTGTACATAATCTTCTCCCATTCAGTAGGTTACATTTTAATTTTGCTGATGGTTTCCTTTGCTATGCAGAAGCTTTTTATTTTGGTGTTTCTTTCTTTCTTTCTTTCTTTCTTTATTATTTCTTTTGTTTATTTTTGCTTTTGTTTCCCTTGCCCCTGGAGACATACCTAGAAAAGTTTGCTAAGGCCAATATCACAGAAATTACTGCCTGTGTTTTCTTCTAGGAGTTTTATGGTTTCAGGTCTTACATTGAGATTTGTGATCCATTTTGAGTTTATTTTTGCTTATGGTGTAAGAAAGTAGCCCATTTTCATTCTTTTGCATGTAGCTATCCAGTTTCCCCACACCACTTATTGAATGAAAAGTTATCTTTTTAATTAGATTATGAAAAACTTTTATTTTAGATATATTAGAATTAGCTACTAACATACTGAAACATTTATTTTGTAAAAAAAATTTAAGTAGGAATAGTCATTTTAATTTTCATGTAGCAATAGATTTCTATACTTCTGATTCAAAGTAAGGCATTCATGTGTAAGTAGCTAAGTAAAGGGCAAATTTTGTGAAATGAAAGTTTTCTGAATTGCTCAATATTTTGAAATTAATTTTGATTTTTACAGATGCAAGGTTTCTTTTTTTAGCTATGTCTTTGTTGTTTCAGCCCTGCGATTTGCTTGGGGATGAACTCCTGGAATGTCTCTCTTGGAGACGGGGAGCCCTACTTTATATGTATTGTCATTCTCTGACCAAAAGGAGGGAGTGGCTCACAAGAAAATCCAATTTGCTTAAAAAGGTAAAAGTGCGTTTCTTATACATTTTTGATCATTAACATTTATAGGTTTCAAAAAGCTGTCCTTGATGTATTAAGAAAAGTGGTGGAGTCAGTAGTCTGGGTTTATATTCCAGCTCTTTCACTTACTAGCTATGTATTCTTAAACAAATTGGAGTTATTGTGAAGATGAAATAAGATAATGTGAAAGCCTTGCAAACTGGGAAATTCTATGTGCTTTTTTTAAGTTTTGAAATTTTATTTTTTAAAATACAAGCTAGACAGTCTGTATTAATTTCTAAGCATATTTTTGGCCTGAAGGAAACAAACTTGGTTGTGAACCTCTCTGTCAGCAGATCACTCATAAAGAACCACCGTGACCCTGCTGCTAGAATACTGTAGCCCTCTGATTCATCTTGGCTTTTCTGACTGAATCAGTAAATCTTAGTGTTAAGTATCACTAGGAAGTCTAACTTGAGTTAATTGTACACATGGTTTATGTGGGCCTGAAGTGAGAGGTCACACTTGATATAAGAGTTTGATCATAATTTTTCTAAATTATAAGTGCATACATATTTTAATAAATTGTTATTGAACTCATCTTTATTATCTTTATCCTTTTCTTCCTCTGATAACATTTTGGCAAGAATATTACTGAATCATGTGTTCTTGCTTAATTTTTTTTTTCTCCATGGTTTTTTGCTAATTGGAGCATTTGGAAGGTTACATTTATAAAAGTGTTTGGGGTGGTGGGTCCTTCTACCATTGTAATATAATAACCATATAGGTCTACATCTTAGCCAGATTTCTCTTGAGTAAAGAATGGGTGGAAATTAGTATTTGAAGTTTCTACAGTTCTGCATGTAATACTTGTAATTCTTTGACTTTGACTTTCATTTAGTACCTTATTGATGGAATCAGTTACTTGCTACAGATGTTAAATTATCGGTGTCCTGTCCAGTTAAATGAAGGAGTTTCTTTCCAAGACTTAGACACAGCTAAATTACTGAGTGAAGGTAATGTGCTCTCTTTTTGAAGTTTTAAAAAATTGTAAGAAATTTATTAGACTTAACTCTGATTTAAATGAATTTCAGGTTACATTATATACCAAAAAATAATAAAAGGGCCTTTAAAAAATTTAAATATCTTCTCCTATAATACAGAAAACTACTGCTAATCCCTTTCTAGCAATTCTGGGAGAATTATATATCATGTTGCCCTGTCACATAAAAATGGTCTGGAGCTGGTTATGGCATCATCAGGTTCCTACCTTTTTCCTCCATCATCTTCAGAACTACAGCTTATGGCCTCAGAGGGAGGCACTTTATATAGACCACCATGTAAACGCTTCCCAGAGTTGTGCAGCAAGACTTCCTGTTGAGGATACTGCATTCTCAGTGTCTCAGGATGCTCTTGGGGCTCCTTTCTTTTTCTTTTTCTTTCTTTATTTTTAAAGATTTTATTTATTTGAGATAAAGAGTGAGAACAACAGTCAGGAGACAGAAAGGGAGAAGCAGGCTCCCCGGTGAGCAAGGAGCCGGACACAGGACTCAATCCCAGGACCCTGGGATCATGACCAGAGCTGAAGGCAGACGCTTAACTGACTGAGCCACTCAGGTGCCACGCTAGAGCTCCTTTCACCTCACCTATGTTTCAGTCTATAGAATGGCAAAAGGATGTTTCTTTCAGCGAAGACTAAAAGAACAACCTTTTTAGAAGTTTCTGACACTTAAATGTCCACCTGCATATCACTGGCAAGAATTTAATCGCATGACTTCATACACGTACAAGGGAACCTGGGATGTACTGGATAGCCCTTTACCTGATATACTGCCATCCCAAATAAAATTATCTCTTAACTAAGAAAGAAGGGAGGAATGAGTATAGGGTGGCAACTGTTAGTTCCTGTCATAAATATCTATGCATTTAAAAATGTTAGGGTTTATATTCCAGCTCTTTTACTTGCTATGTATTCTTAAACAAATTCGAAGTATTGTGAAGATTAAATAAGATAACGTGAAAGCCTTGCAAACCCAAGTGATGCTCTCATTCATCACTTGGGTTTTAGACTGAGGTGCGAGAGGGAAGAACCACTTATTTTTACCATCTTTTTATAAATGGAGGAACTGAGGTCCTAATAAGCCAGATGATCTGCTAAAGGTCACATACCTGGTGAATAACACTCCACTATATGCGTAAATTGTCTTATTCTATCTGGAATCATGATGGGGAAATATCAAATATGGGGAAGAAGAAGAAAACTTAGGGAAAATTCTATAGTTTAATTTTATAAGTATATTTTTAAGTATTTTTCTTTGTTAGCTTCTATAGGCTTTTCCATTGAAAACATTGTTTAGAAAAAACATGATTTAAGTATCATTAACATACAACTGGCTACTGAAAGTTATTACCTTCGGTTAATTCAGGCAAGTAGTTTGTCCTAAAAATCGTGAATACCAAGTGCCATTCCAGTGGGCATGCTATTTTGACAAACATGGGGTATTTTGACATATTTGTAGGAAGTATTTCTTTCAGATAACTAGTACAATGATTAGCTGCATTGGCAATGGCCTTTCTAAAATCTTACCCACCCACATGGATTGATAGAAGAGAAACAGCAGGATTGGCACCAAAGCCTACTTAAAATGAAAGAAAGTAAGAAGATCACCAATTTCCCTTATTCTCCCATTTCTAGTCATAGGGTAGGATACTTTTATGGCCTGGAATTTTCTCTAGGATATTTTTGGTACTGGTGTCTTCTCTCTCTCTCTCTTTTTTTTTTTTTTTTTTTAAGATTTTTATTTATTTATTGAGAGAGAGGCAGTGAGAGAGAGAATGAGCGAGGAGAAGGTCAGAGGGAGAAGGTCAGAGGGAGAGCTGGGAGCTCGATGCGGGACTCGATCCCGGGACTCCGGGATCATGACCTGAGCCGAAGGCAGTCCAACCAACTGAGCCACCCAGGCGTCCCACTGGTGTCTTCTCTTAACTCATAATTTGATTGCACTAGCCCCTAGCTTCCACTGCTTCTTCAACAGAAGAATCAAGAGTCTTTCCAGGAAGAAGGAAAACATATCTGTTCCCTAGCACTTTTGCCATAGGGCTAGGTCCTCTTCTGGTGTTAGCTTCTTGCTGTCATCTAAAGCAGTTTGCTTTTCCCTACTTCTTTTTCAAGATGTAGGTTAGAAGCTAGCAAGCCTGTCTTTCACAGGCTGAATTACTCCTGAAAGCCCAGTAGAGAGGGGGAAGCATAATTCTGAATAATCCTTAATATTAATTTAAAAAGTTTATATGAATTACCAAAATATTTTTGTGGCCAGATCTTAATGATAATTTACCCAACTTTAGGTAAAACTCAAAGCACCGAATACTTAGTATGATTGTTATTTCTTTTTCCGAGATGAGATAATTATTTTGTCCTCTGAACATTACTTATATGCCATTAAATTTTCAGCTTTTAAAAATTACCAAATAAAGTCTTCAGTAATCCTCTTTATGTCATTTCTGAGCCTTATTCTTCTGTGGCCCCTTTTAGAAATAGCCTTGTCAGAATAACCCTGGAGTCAAGGGATTAAATCAAAGTACTCCTGAGCTTTGCACACCCTTGGTTTATGACCTTTTTCATACCATCGAGGACCTCCCTGGTGCCTTCTCAGCAGCATTTTTGCGTAGCTTACCCCAGAACTTGGGATTTTAGATCCCCGAAAGAAGCAGCTCTGAACTAGCATTACTAATTGCCTGGGTAGCTTGTTAAAAATTAACAGATTTCTGTGTACCCCCTGCAGGGTCAGTTCAATATATGGAGTGTGAAAATTTGTTTTTAAGAAGCTCCCATAATCGGCCTGGGTGGCTCAGTGGGTTAAAGCCTCTGCCTTCAGCTCAGGTCATGATCCCAGTGTCCCAGGCTCTCTGCTCAGCAGGGAGCCTGCTTCCACCTCACTCTCTCTTCCTGCCTCTCTGCCTATTTGTGATCTCTGCCTGTCAAATAAATAAATAAATAAATAAATAAATAACATCTTTTTTAAAAAAGGAAGCTCCCATAATATGATGTGCCAGATTTTATACATTACTCTTCCTAGTGGATATCAATCTGGCCACCTTTTTTTTTTTCCCTTCCTATAGAAGTCTTTCTGCCCCCATTCTCACTTCATGGGTTATTCTCCTCTTCCCTACCTGCATCCCCCATTATCACATGTGTGTTACCAAGTGCACTGGCTTGCATAGTGCAAAGTGGAATGTTTTATTGAAAACCATGCAGAGCATTAAGAGAAAAAATATTGAGTGGGTTAGGCCTTGCCTTTGGCTCAGGTCATGATCTCAGGGTCCTGGGATCGAGTTCTGCATCGGGCTCTCTGCTCAGCGGGGAGCCTGCTTCCTCCTCTCTCTCTGCCTGCCTCTCTGCCTACTTCTGATCTCTCTCTGTCAAATAAACAAATAAAATCTTAAAAAAATATATCAAGGAAAGTTCATAGGAACAAAAACTCTACAGCTGGAGAGTAGTGGAATCCTTGGGGAAGTTGAAAGGGAGAAAGTACCTGATTTACATTGTTCATCTCTTCTGTTGATACTTATCAGCAGTAGCTTAGCATAGTCTCTGGATCAGCATCACCATAAGTGCTACGACTTTGTGAAAAATGCACATTCTCAGGCTCAACCCTATACTCGAATCTGAAGCTCTAGAGGTGGGGGTACAGCAATCAACATGTTAGCGTGTCCAGGTAATCCTAATGTAGGCTCAAGTTTGAGAACCACTCTTTAGCATATAGCCATTCATTCTCTCTAGTAACATTTTTTTCACGGTGTACCTGTGTCCCCTGTTCAGCAGCCACTCCTTGTTAATAAAAAGAACGAGGCTTAGACTTGGGCGCAAATTGGATCCCATATGTCCCCTAGGCAAACACTCCTCTCACCCTTCCCAAGCGGCTTCACTTTGTGAGACATACTTCTGTTCCTCCTCCCAAAGCTCTAGCCTGCTTAAAAGTTCATCCTTCCCTCCATTTTTGTTTCTATCTTTTTATTCCCCTCTACCATTCTTTTTAGGAATAACTAGACAAGGTATAGGATCACAAAAATAAAAATGACATGCATTCAACAAAATGCCATAACTGATACAAAATATAATTCTGAATAACATCTAATGCTTCCTCTCTGAGGTTTATGATCTCTTAACTAAAGGAATAGTGAAAAGAAATGGTTATATTTATTAATATCTATATATCATTTACAATAACAAATGTTTATACTTAAACATAGTATATAACACTTTTACAATATGTATATAATGTTTTATTCATAGAAAGCATAATTAATGTAGAGTAGCCTATCATTTTCATGAACATAGGCTTCAGATTCTGCTCTTAAGTGACTATTTCTTTTATTGATGGTTTAACGAGTCATCTCTCCTGCTAAACCTGTTTTTCTCTTGGTGGTACTAGAACCTCAATTTGAGGTGAAGTGAAGGGGATAACTGTAGGGACAAATTCTGAGACTAAAAAGCTTGCAGTAGATTCAAGACAATAGAGACTATGATAGATTTGAATGTTGGATATTTCTTCTATTTGTTTATATCTGGTACCATCATAGTAATTTCTGATGAGCCATATTAGGTGAGCAGCTGAGATTATGATACTCATTGATGTGAGGTAAAACTTTTCTAATCATACATTAGAGTAAATCATTTATTTGTATTCTAGCAGCTTCGAGAAGTTAATGTATCTTAATAGCATTTTATGGTTTCTAAAACTCTTTTATATATTTTTATTTATGTATTCCTTAAGACAACTCCATAAAATAAGGGTTTTTTCAGATTTGCAAACCTAGGCTCAAAGTTTTCCAAAATCATAGTCAATAATTTATACCCAAATCTTTTGATTCTAGGTCTATATGTCTACCAAATGAATATACTTAGTGTGCCATAAATATTTAATTATATAATTACTTTATTTCATAATAAGAATGCTTTTAATTCTTGATGGCAACCCTACATTGTATTCCTTTTTTTCTGGGAATATAAAGTATCTTGGATATAATTTAACATCTTTCATAATTTAGAATTATATGGCCTCCTAGGGTTATATTTATGTATGATAATTTCTGTAGACTCTTATAGAAATACAGGAGGGGGCGCCTGGGTGGCTCAGTGGGTTAAAGCTTCTGCCTTCGGCTCAGGTCATGATCCCAGGGTCCTGGGATTGAGCCCCACATCGGGCTCTCTGCTCAGCAGGGAGCCTGCTTCCTCCTCTCTCTCTGCCTGCCTCTCTGCCTACTTGTAATCTCTGCCTGTCAAATAAAATAAATAAAATCTTAAAAAAAAAAAAAAGAAATACAGGAGGTGTAGAATACTTGACTGGAACTGTATTGCTGATCCTAGAATTTATCCCAAAATAGAAGTTGTGTTCATGGATGAGATTCAGGGAGTCTCCAAATACTCTGAAATTTTATGGAGAATTTGGGGTATATATTCCGGGAGAGGTTCCATTGATTATATTAGCTTCTCAGAGAGGGCCTAAAGAGAATCCCCTAAAGGTTAAGAACAAGTGGTCTAAATAATTATTTTTAAAAAATTCTCTGACAGTACCCTGGGAGGGTGCGGGTGATGGACCTCTTTTATAAGTAAATAGAGAGAGATGCCAATTACATAAGGAATGTATTAGTGATAATTCGGCTTTTCTCGGGTAATTGTTAAATGAAGAGGAAAAATGCTGAATGACATAAAAGGAATTGATTAGAGTTTAAGTAGCCAGGTTATCTTTTTAAACATTTAAATTCTAATTTCTCAACCTAAATGATTTTCCCAGGAATATTTAGTGACATTCATTTGCTGGCTATGATGTACAGTGGAGAAATGTGTTACTGGGGATTGAAGCATTGTGCAGATCAACAGCCAGAAAATCATGAAGTGGATTCTGGTGTTTCTGGAGCAAGCTACACAACACAAAAAGAACCTCTGGATTTCCGAGAAGTAGGAGAAAAAATTTTGAAAAAGTATGTATTTGTGTGTGAAGGACCCCTGAAAGAGCAAGAATGGAATACAACAAATGCAAAACAAATTTTAAACTTTTTTCAGCATCACACTAACCAGTAAGTTATCTATTCCTTTTCAAAGAGGAAAACAAAACAACCCATGAAATGGAAAAGTTCCAGAAAAGAAGACATCTTGACACTGTTTAAGAATGTTACACTACATAAATATACCCAGCGTGGTTACCTATTTTTAATGCCATCACCATTTTTCATTATATATTTTTAAATCTATGAAAGAATGATTCTTTAATGTTTAAGATGGCATGTATGTTATTCTAACTCAGCCTGAACTGCAGATGTTCTATAACTAATAAGTAGGAATAGAGTTTAGCTTTATAAGTTTTTTTTAATTATTAGCTTTTTTGTGACATAAATTGACCATTTTAAATATCTTCAGATTATTTTAAAATCTGTCTTGAAGTTTGCTGTGCTTCAGAGATTAAAATCAACTCACCTCATCACTTTAGATATATTCTAAAGATGTAAAAATTGGCAAAATAAAAAATTATGACTAGTATTCAGACTCCATTTCCAGAATAGATAAATAATGAAAGGTGCCACAAAAGAAATGTGTCATTTTTTGTTTTACCATTACTCATGGCATTTACAATTTTTATGCTATTGGGCATTATGTAAAAATTTTCAAGTTATTTTCCAATTTTATTTAAAAGAAAATGGATGGTTTATCAAATGAGTAATGAAGATGAAATCAGGTTAGTCCATCATCAACTCATATGTGTTTAGAGTGCCCCTTTTCATGTGTATTGAAATTTTAATATTTTTGTCTTTAATAGTAAAGATGAGTGATAAAGGCCAGAGAACCTAACTTGCTGTCTTGCTTATTGTCTACCTCAACTCCTATTGTCATCTTGGGATGATCTAATAATTTGCTGATATCCTTGACTTCTGTATCAGTGACTTCATCACATTCCAGGAACTTAACTCCCATGGCTACACCTTGAATGAATATCACCATCCTGAGTTTTTCTTTCTGAAATCTTAAATTTCAGTAATTGATAATAATTCACATCTTTCCAGCTTTTCACTTTCTCATTTTTACTGATTTTTCTTTCTCCTTTATTTCTATTCTATCTCTTTAGCTTTTTCACAGCCCCTTCTCTTGACTGTTCCTCTTTCTCCTAAACCATCAGCCCCTTTGAGATTTTCTTCCTTCCTAACCAGCCTCAGCCTAATATGGGATACTAGGGATACAGATGAAGTGCTCTTCACAGTCCCTTCAAGTCCACTGTCCCCTTGTCCTTCAGTCTGACCATTCTGCAAGTGTCAGTGTTGAATTAATCCTGTCACCCACCTTTTCTGGAATGCTGCATCCCATGTGAAGTACATGCAGCCGTTGAAAGTATAATCCCTATAAGTATCTCAGCTTCAACTTTAGGAGAGCCCTCAGTACAAGCCTTCTGTTTGTTTCTGGTGTGGCTCCTCTCCTTTTACCATGGTGACTAATCTAAACCTCTCACTTTCCTCATGAGGTCCTCTGTCCCGTCCTCTCTTGGATATGGCTCTTGGTCCTATCTTACAGAAATTTAAGACTATGAGGACTTAAACTTCTATTTCTTGGCTTTGCCCTACTCATTTTCCCCATTTTTAGAAGGAAAGAGATTGCCTGCACGCTGTTGAAAGCCAGTCTCTGCCTTTCCTCATTTCCCCTGGGGCTTTTCTTTTTTTCTGCCTACCTTTTAGGTATTATTCTTCCCTGGAGGTCTGTCCTTTTTCTCTTTATCCCTCTTCTCCCCCTTTTCCTTTCTCTCTCTCTCTCTCTTTTTTTTAAACTTACTCTTAGGTGATGTCATTCATAGCCATGGCTGCTTCTGACACCTAAAATGTTAAGCTTATATCTAGACTTGCAACTTGAATCCCAGCTTCTGCTCTCTGAGCCTTCTTTCTAACTGCCTATTAAATGTCTTCACTTAGATAATTTTAAATTCAATATGTCCAAATAACTAACCCTCATCTTTATCTAAAATCTTTTTTGGTTCATGTTTTTGGTGGTTTTGATCTTTCACAGTGCAGGGCAATAAGGAATGCCATAATCTAGTTTCTGTCCACATTCCCTGTTTTATCTCTGCAATGTATCCTGTGTAATCACGTCCTAGTCCAGTTCTAGTCCAGTCCTCAAACATTAATAACCCAGGCTCATTTTGATAAATAGGAACATTCTGATAGAGCATCTTGATATAAGGAAAATGTCTCCCTATCTCTGCCCCATCTTTTCACTTAATCTTACGCAACTAAGATTTTTATTTAACATTGCTTTTCAACAAGTTTTACTATAAAAATGCCTTTGTGCTTTCTAAGTATAAAGATTTACATCATTTTTAGTGTGATTTTAAGAACCACAGACCACCCTCCCCGACTCTTTTTGGAGCATCATGATCAGTTGTTAATTAAACAGGTAACACTGCTTTATAGTTCTTTATGAGTTGGTGAACTCTGTATTTTAAAAAAAAATTATCTACACATTGTACTTAATGAATGGTAGGCCCTTAGTATTTTTTTTTTAATTAATAAGAGACATGGTTCTTAAGTGCCAAACACTGCACAAAAGGGTTGCTGCTATTGGATTCCAAACTGCCATGCCCTCTATACCAGTGGTTGACAAGGCAAATAAGGAATTACTCCTCAGGGGAGTAAAGTATTGTATAGATTTGGAACTTGAGAAAACCATAACTTTCTCTTCAGAAATGGAAATTTCCATTTTGCCTTCATGACCCTTGTGAACCACTTGGGTTCCTCACTGATTGGTATAGTTCTGAGGGTGCTACTGGGTGCTTTTTGTACTTTTACATCCCCCAACAATTGGAGAATAATTTGTAGACCATAGCAGTTATAATGCTCTTAACTGTGGTGTATTACAAAACAAGGAACAACAGATTTTTTTATATGTTAAAGCCTAAGTAATTCTATTTCATTTAGAATGACGTATCTTCAAGATAACAGATACTCTGCATAAGGAAAGCAGTATAATTTCCTCATCACTAATTATTATGTGCCTACTACATGCCAGGTTTCATCTTAGGCATTGATGATACAGCTTTGCAAAACACCAATTTTTTGGAGTTTATATTCTAATGGAGGAAGTTAACACATTTAACAAAATAATTTTATAGTGTATTAAGTGGTTAACACTATAAATAAAGCAGGGTAAAGGGCTTGTTACAATGTGGAAAGTAGTACTATTGTGTTTCTTACACTGTTTATTACACTGGGGGTTTCTCTACATTTTGAGTTCTCTGATGGTTACAAAACTTAAACTCTGTTAAAGGATTTTTTCATAATCCTTAAATTTGTGTGGTTCTTTCCCAATGCAAATTATGATGGTGATGATGATGATGATGATGATGATGGTGATGATGTTAAGTAGGCTTTAAAACTTAAAGGCCTGTCTGCTTTGTGGCATTTATACGGTTTCTGGCTACTGTGAATTGTGTGATGTTGATTAAGGTGTAAATCACGACAAGACTTTCCCTCATACCTTTGCATACAGTAGAGTGAGGTGAGTTATGGCTAAAACCCTGCAATAAAATTACATTCCAACTTTTACACTCACACTGTGGATTCTGTGATGTTCATTAATGTGGGAAATGTGTCTAAAGGTAATTCTCAGATTTATTTTAATGGCATTTTTAAAAACCCACAACTGGATGACATGCTAGTTTTGGATTACGTGTCACTTTTCTCTTGCCATCTTTCAGGATTCTGTTCCTGGCTCTAATAATGATACCCTATCTGCAACAGAATCCAGGATTCTGTAGTTCTCTAGTGTCACTTCCTTGTATTATTTTTGACACAGTATGAGATAGTATGTTATTGGAAGTATTATATTAAAATACATTTAATGTATCTGCAATTAAAGTATTTGTTATGTATTCATGCTGGTGTTCTTTGCTGTTTTTTGTTTTCCTACTTCTAGTAGAGATTTCCAAATTTTTTGGAGCATATAAAAATTTTTTTAATAAAACCATATTCCCATATTTGTATCTTGTTCATTTTCTTTTATATCTGAGTGTTGTGTCAGAATGAAAACTTTGTGTCAGTTTACATTGACATCTGAATATTATTTCTTATGGTTCTAATAATTTTCAGACAAGGTAGTATAGTGGTTAGGTATATGGCCTCTGGAACCAGAGATTTGAGGTTGATTACTAGCCCTGTCATTTCCTAGTTACGTGACTCCACATAAGTTATTTATCTTTTCTGTTCTTAATAATCCTATTATTTAACGAAGGAATAATAATAGTACCTACCTCACAGGTTATTGAAGATTAAATGAGTTAATGTTCAAACTGCTTAATTCAATTGGATTAATTCTTAGGATGCTTAGCACATCTAAGAGCTCAAAATAGTTATTATTTAACTTAAGTCTAGTTCTATATATCAGTTAATCATGCTGAAAAATATAATACTCATCAGCCAGAATAATTGAGTGATAATGTGGATGTGTGTATTAGGTAGAGATGGTGATGGAGCAAGACTCATAAATTGGTAACTTGAATCAGCTATTGGATACATGGGATTTCATTACATTATTAATTCTCCTATACATGTTTTAAAAATTTTCACGATAAAAAAATTATAACTCATACCTTTGTAAGTGTCCACATTTCTTTGTAAAGCTGAGAATCATTTCAGTACTTCATACTTGAATTGAAACTTGTTTTTCTTGTGCTAGTTCGTTCTTCCTCCTAGAGAGGGAGAAGAAATGCCATATGATTAATCAATTCATGATTTTTTCTCTTGTCCGGCCAGCCTCACAGAAGTAAGCTTGCAGTTGAATTAGTTATTGGCCATTAGCAAGAGCATGCAAGGAAAATAACGAAACTTTAAGTTCAGATCTCATAGAACCTCAGTTGTCAGGCTTTACTGAATTTCTGTTATTTGACATTTAGATCCCCAGATATTTACTTTTGAAGTATAAATTCAAGCCCGTAAGTATTGTGTTCATTATTAAGCATTAAGCACTCTGCTTAATATATGTGAAGGGACAGTGTGTGAGAGAGGTGTATGTATATTATATATATACATATCTATATATACAAATATAATTATGCACTTAAATATTTGTACGTACATACGACTTACATATATGTTCCCTTTAGCTTATCATGATCCTTATAGATTAATAGCTTTATGAAGTTGGTGATCTTTTTATCTTGAAGACTAAAAAAAGGGGATTAATTTTTCAACAGGTGACTTGGGTTATATGTGAGAGACTATTTTGACAATCAAGATAACAGTGGTGGACAGGTTGATTGTGAAATTTGGAATTTCCATATTTGATATCTTCACAAAAAGAAAGGATAATTGCAGATCTGGATATTGTAAGCAACTACTGGTTGACAATGAGTTTCAATTAGCAATAATCGTGCCTCGGATAAACCTCATTGGCTACGATACTGCCACTGTGCAAAGCTTGACAATGAGTTTAAACCAGATTATGTAGAGATCTATTATGTCTGTTCTCAAAAATGGATTATTTTGAATGTATTTTTCTTGTGGCATGTGTATTTTTCTTGTTGCATGTTGTAACAGATAATGCTGTCTTGCTCTTTATTGAATAATCCTAGAGACTTAAAAGTTTTATATTTATAACTTCAGAATGGAATATTCCTTTAAGGAACAGAGCTCTAGTGTTTGAGCAGAGTATTCTTTGGATTAGATTGAAGTAATTTATTTAAAAATGAATGACACATAGTACTAAATAAGTATTTGTGTCCGTCTTACCAGTAGAGACTATATCCAGTTCCAAATAATAGGTTACCTTTGCTGAAAAGAAAACCCACAGGCCCCAAATGGAATCACTTATTTTAAGGGCCTCACTTCAGCAAACCAATACTTCATATCCAACCTAACTGCAGTTTCAGACCCCTCAGGAAAGTAACCTTTTTTTTTTTTTTTTTCCCCTCTTAGGTAGGCCCCATGGCCAGCATGGAGCCCAACCCCAAGACCCTGAGATAAAGACCTGAACTGAAATCAGGAGTTCCAATCTTAGTCAACTGACCCACCTAGACACCCCAAGAAAGTAACCTTCAACATGGAATTCCTGGTTAGCACTAGGATGGCTTTGTCTACAGTAGTGTACTTTTTTTCAATAATTTCCTTTTCCCAATTTCCTTTCTGCCTTTAAAGACTTAATTATTTTAAAGTAATTTCTATACTCAACGTGGAGCTGAACAACCCTGACATCAAAAGTTACATTCTACACCAACTGAGCCAGGCAGGTGCCCCTATTTTCTGCCTTTATTTTCAATTTTTTAAAAAGATGTATTTACTTATTTGGGGGGCAAGGGGGTGTGGCAGAGGGAGAGGGGGAGGGAGAAAGAAACCCAAGCAGACTCCACGCGCAGCACTGAGCCTGAGATTAGGACCCTGCCTTTACAACTTCAGCCCAAACCAAGAATAGGACCCTTAACCACTGTGCTACCCACGCGTCTCTCTATCTTTAAAAAACCTTCCTTGTCCTGCAGCTCCTTTCCATTTGCTGGATGGGATGCTTCCAGATTCATGAATTGTTTAATAAAGCCAGTTTGCTCTTTTACATTACTCAATTGAGTTTTTCTTTTTAATATCTTTTAATGTGGGCTATAGTATAGTTTCTTAAAACCCTTTCAAAGTACGGCTGGACAAAGTAAGTAAAATGGATAACTGTTCTGACAGATTAACAAAAACAACTAGGAGGATTTTAACGGTACCATATCTGGTTTCTCCTCTTATTCTAGCCCTATTTTGCTGCCCTTTTATGGGATGCCTGCCTACCTTCAGGAGTTTTAAATGTACCTAAAATTTTATAGAGAAAATATAGGCTCCTCTCCTTGGCATGAGGTTTCTCGTGATTGGGCGCTTGGTCACCTCCATGTTGCATTTTTGCTAATCCGCAGGAAAACTAACAGTAAATCTGAGACCGAAAAACAATAAAAAACCAGCACACCCAGCACGGCAGTGCTGAGAAGGAAGCAACCGGCTATTAAGCCTACGGTAGCGAAGGAGGGCCAGCTATCGAATAAGTAGGGGCCACCTAGAAATGGGTCCCAGACAGAGAGAACGACTTTGGGGGAAGTTATAAAGCGGGGAGAGACTGCACGTGAATGAAGCGAGGTTCGCGGGGTTGAGGCCTGGATTAAGCTCTTGGCGCGAGGTTCAAGCTCGGCTGGAGACGACACGTGATTGGGCCACACCTCCGTACCCTCTCCGGTCCCTAGGCCGTCCTCGGGAAGACGTGGAAGGAGGGAGGCGCGATGCGGAAGGCCGGCAGCCCCGAGCGGGGAGCGTGCGTGACCCTGCGGCGCGTCACGTGCGACGCTGGCGGCCATGGCGGGAAGCGAGCCACGCAGCGGAGGCAGCTTCCCTCAGCCACACCACAGCGACTGGAGCCGTCTAGAGGCCGCCATCCTAAGCGGCTGGAGGAACTTCTGGCAGTCGGTGGGCAAGGAGAGGGCAGCGCCGAGAGCCTCTCAAGAGGAGGCGGATGAGGAGTCCAGTACCCTGACGCGGCTGCCGGTGAGTGGCGGCCACCGGCCGCGGAGGACCTAGGGGCCGGGCCGGGAGGGGCGTCCCGCACTGGCGGCCTCGGGGGGCATCACCGCGCTGAAGTTTGTGTCTGGCGCGAGGCCGTTCCGGGCAGTGTCGTCACCTGGGAGCAACAGTTGGCCAGAAACGCCGAGGCGTTGAACTTTGGTGCTCCGCAGCCGGACCGAAGGTCGCAGCGAAACGCCCGGGTAACCTGCCAGGTCCCCCTCAAGTCTTCCACCCCCCAAACCAAGTTTTGGCCCTAGAACACCCCGAACGTCAGGTTAAGGAAATAGGAGGAGACCACTGCAGACTTTTTTTTTTTTTTTTTTTAAAGATTTTATTTATTTGAGAGAGATCAGAAGTAGGCAGAGAGGCAGGCTGAGAGAGAAAGGAGCAGAGAGCTCGATGCGGGGCTCGATCCCAGGACTCTGGGATCATGACCTGAGCCCAAGGCAGAGCCACCCAGGCGCCCCCCACTGCAGACTTTTGTTAGCCTGGGAAAGCCTTCGGTTGCTGGGTGCTCGGCGTCTTTGATCTGAGGTTCAATGTACCAGAACACCGCGAGGAGATCGAGGCTGGTCCCTTACCGCGCAGTTCAAGTAACAGAACTCACTCTTAACTGACCATGACGAAGTCGTGCCTCAAGTTACAAGAGACCACGAGAATTATACACACCACTTATTGTTAAACTTTTCAGGCAGATGGGAAAATGGGAGAGAGGAGAAATAATTAGACATTATACAAATTCTGTATCTCAGCTGGACTGTTGACACCTCTCTCCCTCTGACATCTATCAGAAATTAAAAACTGCAGGCTAAGGACGCCTCCAAGCTTCTCCCTTTTGTAGAAGTTCTTTGAAATACCGATTTTATGGAGAAAGTGAGATGGCAGATTTACTCTTTGATTAGAACTAATGACAAAATCAGAAGTGCTTTGATAGAAGTTTTATTTTGAAGACTAGATTGTTTCCTTAAGTGGTTGGTTCAGGTAATGTAGTGGCAAAATTCTATGAGAAATTAAAGGACCTCTTTATTTTGCTTGAAAAATACCAGAACAATGATTGGTCTTTCATGAATGTTTCAGTGTGTCAACAATTAAATGTTCAGATACGTTTCTCTTCTGATGGCAGGAAAATAACTTCAGCATTATAGATTTAATTACTAAAAATACTGTTAAATTGATCTTTGGTTATCTAGTATAATTGTTTTGTAATTCATCATGATAGATATAATTATTAAAAAGATGGGCTATCCAGTTGACCTTTGGATTCCCAGTATAATAAAATAATTATTTGTTTATAATTATCAGAAAATTTTTAAGCTAAGTTTTTCCTCCCTTTTACCCATTTGCCGTTTCTATTTCAGATTGACGTACAGCTATATATTTTGTCATTTCTTTCACCTCACGATCTGTGTCAACTGGGAAGTACAAGCCATTATTGGAATGAAACTGTACGAGATCCAATTCTGTGGAGATATTTTCTGCTGCGGGATCTTCCTTCCTGGTCTTCTGTTGACTGGAAGTCTCTTCCAGATCTAGAAATCTTAAAAAAGCCTATATCTGAGGTCACTGATGGTGCATTTTTTGACTACATGGCAGTGTAAGTATCTAGTTTTATGAATTAAAAAGAAGATACTAAATTTGCCTGTGGTGCAAGTTAATAGTCTAAATTAGTCTTGGCTCTGCCAGTAATACATTTCATGGAATTTGGTTGTGTTTGTAAAAGTTGGGGATTAACTTGAATTCCTTCATATGACCCTTTCAGTTTTCACATTTTGTTATTTACCTGTGGTAATTATTTGAATAATTGTAGACAGTTCATATGCCAAGAAGTAAAACATTTCTTAAAGCTTTCATCATCTTTAGAACATTTGTCATTTTGTTAAATAGCGAATACTTTTCTGTATCCAAAAAAACGAATGATCAGTGATCAGACACCAGTTCTTTCGCAGGGAAGAAAACCATTCTCAAGATTCTGGGAACTAAGATTTTGTTATCACCCAGAAGCATTGACACTTTTAAATATCATGTAGCTGAGAGAATTAATGTAGAGCAACTGTAGTGTATTGAATTCTATGAGGGATGCTTTATGTATGTTTAGTTATTTAGCCATCACCCAATAAGAAAGTATTACCCTTGTGTTATAGATGTGGAATTGAGGTTCAGAATGGTTATGGATTTACCTAGTTATATAGCTTATAAGGGACTATTCAGATTGGAACCCTGTCATGCCACCTTAAAAATAATGTCATTGGATCTGGATATAACCTACTTTATTGAGGGCTCCACATTTAAGGCATTGGAAATAAAATTTAAAAAATATTTATGTTTTAGAAAAGAACTGTTTTGCTCTGCTATATTTAGTATATAGATACAGGATGTTTTTTCATATTTTATTTGAGTTATTCAGATCTTTCTTTAATCTAAATGCCAAGTCTTGTAAGACTACTTGATTAAAATGTATGTGATATGTTATATATAATTTCAGTAAGTGCTATTGTCCTCTCACTTGCTGGTTGTTACTTTATATATTGTCCCACAACCAACGATAGCATCAAGTATATCATGCTGTGGAACCAGCTTTTCCCTGGGAATAGTAATAATCATAGTAGCTACCATTTATGATTATATAAAGTATTTTTTATTGAAGTAAAATTAAGAGACAGTGTTATATTAGTTTCAGATATACAATATAATGATTCAGCAATTCTATGCATTTCTCAGTGCTCATCATTTTTAAGTGTACTTTTAATCCCCTTTTATATCACCCCCCCCACCAACCTCCCCTCTGCCAACCACCAGTTTCTTTTTTTGTCTGTTTTTTTCTTTGTTCATTGTTTTGTTTCTTAAATCATATAAATTAATTTGTTCCTTACAACCCTGGGTTAATTGTTACTGCTCAAATAATGCTGATGAAAAAACGTAAGTTCATAGTATAAGTGGCTTATATAAATAAAGTGGTCAGATCTACGTAGCCTCAAAAATTTATTTTTTTTCCTTCTTGAATTATAAGTTTCCTAAATAAAGATCATTGTCTTGTTAGGTCAGTAATTGTCTTAACCACCTTTAGTCAAAGGGCTTTAGGTTTTATTTTGATTTGGTTACTGTGTTCTAACTTTTGATAACATGTAGAATTGGTAATTTAGAAATTTATAGCTATTGAAAGAAACTGTTGGTTTGTTTTTTTCACTTGATTCTGAGTTTGCTAGGTTATCTTTAAGGAACATTAGATCCTCCCTGTATATTTAACACTTACTAAACTGTTACATTGGAGGCTGTTAATAGGAGTACTTAAGAAATTTGGTTCTATTGATGGCATTACTAATTTCTATCTTTTTTTTTTTTAACCTCTAAAGACATTTATGTTAAGTATCCATATAGGTTATTGTAGGGTTTCTCAATCTTGGCACTATTGACATTTTAGATCAAGTGTTCAGACAAGTTGTGCTGTGCACTGTAGGATGTTGAGCAGCATTCTTGACCTCTGTCCACTAGATGCCAGTAGCACACCACACACTGACCCCTAGTCACAACAGCAAAAATGACTGCAGACATTGCCAAATGAATGCTCTCTTGGGGTGGGGAGGAAAAATCTCCCCAGAATGAGAATCACTGCTCTGTGTAGTGAATTTTTATGACTGAAACAAGTGTTAGACCAAGTGTTAGTTCCATGAGAAAATCTAAATGAAAAATTAGAAAGTAAGTAGCCATTTCTTGGGGAAGACTTCCTTAACATTTGGACCACTTCTACTCCCAGAGTGCCTTTGCTTTTTCATGTGATGGCATCCAGCATACATGTTATAATGTGTCTGTTCTCCACCTTCCTCCATGAGGATTGGAACTATATAATTATTGCATTATATAATACAATAATATAATGTGTCTAGCAGGTTCTCAATAAACTATATATTGTTGAATGAATAACTGGCTATGTTTTTTTCTGTGTTTATTTTCTAATTGTGACAATATTATGCAGCTATAAAATGTGCTGTCCATATACAAGAAGATCCTTGAAATCTAGCCGTCCTATGTATGGAGCTGTCACATCATTTTTACACTCACTGATCATTCAGAATGAACCACGATTTGCTATGTTTGGACCAGGTTTGGAAGAACTGAATACATCTTTGGTGTTGAGCTTGATGTCTTCTGAGGAACTTTGCCCAACAGCTGGTTTGCCTCAGAGGCAGATTGATGGTAATTTTCATGTTAATCTGTAGCATATAATAGTTAAAACACTTTGATCTTGACACTAATGTTAAAAGAAATTTTTTATTAACTCATTGATGTAATGAAATATAGTATTTTGGTGAATAGGCACTCTTCCTCCCCAGGTCCCAGTGGACTGAAAAGGTTGATTTACTTTTTATCAGAGGTGAGCTTCCTCTTATTTCCTCAGATTTGTGTAATCTAGAATATAAGATTATGTGCAAGTAAATTATATGTTATCAGGATGTTTGTACAGTAGTTAACATATTTTAAAAAAATGTTGATGGCAAAAACCTATCTACTATGTGCAAAGTACTTTGATATGTAGTGGAATTTTTAAAAAGAGCTAAATTAACACCTTTCTCCTCTTTCTGTGAAAACAATAATCCTATAGTTAGTTGGCAAGCAGGAAATATAGGTATAAATAATACTATAATCTAGCTTATGCTTTGCTTATTCATTTATTGAGAGCACCCATTAGATGCTAGAGGTGTAGCTATTTGAAACAAACATCAAAAATTTTTATCTACCCTGAAGACACTTGGTCTTGATAAGGACAAAGACAAGTATATAGGTGGTTAGAATATGGTGTAATTAGCTCCTGAGTAGAAAGATAAGGCTCCAAGAAGGCTCTTTGTTGAACATGATGCCTTATTTGAGTCATTATGATGAGTTAAAGTAGGCCATTAAAAAAAAAAGGGACAGAAGTATTCTGAGCAGTGAAAACTACATTTCTAAAAGCACAGAGCTCTGGATACATATGACACGTTTGAAGTAGATCTATGTGTCCAGAGTGGGCTGGGTGAGAAGATATGTGTATGCCATGCTTAAGCATTTGGGAGCTGTTGAAAGATTTTAAACAGAGCAGTGAGATGATCAAGATTACATTTTAGAAAGATCTGGCTCCTGAGTGGAAAATTGATTAGAAGAGGCTATAAAACATGGAGACCTGTTAAGAAAGCACTATAATATTGTAAAAACATGAAGGATAGCATTGACTGAATATGTATGAGTGTTATTTCTGTGTGGTTTTCATATTGGATGATATTGCCATTCACTAGGATAAGGAGGAGGAAGATAAAGTTTTTTGAGGGATCTTTATAGGAAGAAGGACGGCTGCTCTTTGGAATATGCTGACTCTCATAACTCTGGGATATAAAAATGGAGATGCCTGCTATAAGCAATCCACTTGAATGGAAGCTCCATTAGGGCAGGAGTCTTACCAGCTTTGTTCTTAGCTGTGTGTTTGAACTCAGGCATGTAGTAGGCACTCAATATAGATTTGATGACTAAATGAACAAATAACTTTGTGGATTACTCTATGCATCCAGATCTCAAGAGAAAGATCTGGGTTAGGAATCAAGATTTGGGAATCTCATGGTGTCCACATGGACTTGGAATTTTCTGAGGATGGAGAGGAATATTGTGAACCAGGTGTGAAATCTTCAGTGAATGTTTGGTGGAAGAGGTTATCAAAAGGAGATTCATAAATGATGAGGTTGAGAAAAGGGAGATGGTACTGCATCTGAATGGTGTATCTCAGAGATGGAGTTTTGAAGAAGGTTGGCGAGAACCGGACATGGCAGTGAGGAGTAAAGAGAACATTGATCCCACGTCTTTACCCTGAGATGTGTGAGAAGAAGCAGTTTGGTTACTTGAGATGTACTGCAAGAGAAGCAGCCCCTAAGGGTAGGCCAGTTCAGGTAAGGCCATGGGGTAGAAGACTCTCTAAAGAAGAGGTTGAGGATATGGGGAAATTTGCTAATCATGAATTGTCAATTTTATTCTCTAGACAGCAGCAGAAATGATTGTTTATAAATGCCAATCTAATTATGCCTCAAACCCTGCAAGATCAAGGAAGAAGGGGGAATGGGTTGTTGGCAGTGTGGTACAGAACAGCATAGAGATCGTATTGGGTTGAGGTTAGATGTGTTAAGAAGGTAATGTCTGGAAATTAAACTGATGAAAACAAAGATCAGAGAAAATAGTAGAATTTTTTTCTTTGATCTCTTTGGAGAGTTTGTGCACCAAACCTTGTGGCCAGGGGACTAGGGCCATGCTTGCAGTCTCAGCCACCAAGATTTCTGCGTATGTGTTACCTGGAATGGTGACATAAGATGGCATGACAGGTTAATTTAAACAACTAGATTGGTTATGATGCAGGGATTAAAGGTGTGAAAAGTGGAGTTGTCCTAAAGTAGAGGTAAGGTTATATTAAGTTGTTTTTGAAGAGCAATGGCTTTGAAGGAAAGAGACATAATGAGATAGGCATTTTTTTTTTTTAAAGATTTTATTTATTTGTCAGAGAGAGAGGGAGAGAGAGCGAGCACAGGCAGACAGAATGGCAGGCAGAGGCAGAGGGAGAAGCAGGCTGCCCGCCGAGCAAGGAGCCCGATGCGGGACTCAATCCCAGGACACTGGGATCATGACCCGAGCTGAAGGCAGCCGCTTAACCAACTGAGCCACCCAGGCGTCCCGAGATAGGCATTTTTAAGCCATCTCTCCAGTTGCTGTCAGAAGAATGGACAGTAGGGGTAAAAAATGGATGTGGGAGACTAGTTAGAAGTGATTGCAAAAGTCTAGTTGAGGGTATGGTAATTTAGACTAAAATGAAAGATTGAGGATGGGCAGAACTAAAGGGGCATTTGTATAGCAAAAAGAAGTAGAGCCATGGGAGAAAGAAGGATCTTTTCATAAGAGGAGAAGAGGCCCAAGTGTTAACACAGCCAAAGAAGGGAGGAGGTTAAGAAACAAGGACAAGTAACAATGTTGAATAATTCAGGTAAAAGTAGCAAGAAGCTAGTATTTAGTATCTGTTATTTACCACTCTACTAGGAATTTTATATATGTAATCTCATTTAATGCTTACAACATCTCTAAGAAGTATGCATTATTTCTATATATATGTTTTTAAAGATTCATTTATTATTTGAGAGAGATAGCATGTAGGGAGGGGACATTAGGGGCATCAGAGAATCTCCAACAGACTCCCCATGGAGCTGATCAAGAGTTGGATGCTTAACTGACTGAGCCACCAGGTGCCCGATATTATTTCTATATTTTGATGTCAAAACTGAGGTTCACAAAAAATGGAAATGTGGCAAATCCAAGTTTAATTTCAAATTTTACTATCTGAATATTTCTTCAGTTTTCTACAGTGCCAGTGGTGACTTCTCATCAATTTAAAAACATTTTCAGGGGGAGAAAACACTGAATGTATATGCAGAGTATATGACTAATGAGAAATGAAAAACTTGGAAAATGAGCCTTAGTCTTGATGATAAATAGTAGCTGTTAATGATGCAGCTGCTACTGATATGATGATACAGAAAGGAATGCTATAAGCCTATCTGTTCTTTGTTCTTTATCCATGTTTTTATTACCATGTAAATGAAAATTGCATACAGCACATTTTCTTCAACATAAACATTTCATTTTATTCCAAAGCTATATATAATTTGTCATGGGCTTTTTGGTTGTTCTTTTTGCTTGCACTGGGTAATTTTTTTTCAGTGTGATCTTTTTCTTTATTTATTAATGACTTGTTTTGATAACTATAATTTTCTTCTTTAGGTATTGGATCTGGAGTCAGTTTTCAGTTGAGCAACCAACATAAATTCAACATCCTGATACTATATTCAACTACCAGGTAAGGCTGCCTACTTAGTGGCCTACCTGGGGCATCAGGACTTGGGTACTTTATGGGGGAGGTGGAGCCTCCATAGTATTTATGCTTTATATTTACATTTTTCTTGCAGAAAGGAAAGAGATAGAGCAAGAGAAGAGCATACAAGTGCAGTTAACAAGATGTTCAGTGTACAGAATGAAGGAGATGATCAACAAGGAAGCCGGTATAGTGTAATTCCACAAATTCAGAAGGTGTGTGAAGTTGTTGATGGATTCATCTATGTTGCTAATGCTGAAGCTCATAAAAGTAAGCATTATTTTATTTTCTTTTTAAGAAACCTTTTTTGCAAAGCAAATAAAATACATTTTTAGGCTTTACTGTGGCTTCTTAAAAGCATGATGGTTAATTTAATAAATGTGATTCTATGACCATTATTGCTAATAAGGAGTTCTCAAACCTTAATGTGCATTGGGATTACCCACCTGGAGAGCTTGTTAAAAATAGCTGCCTGATTCCTATTCCGATGGATTATAATTCATAGATTTGGGTTGTCTCTTGGGCATTCTTTTTTTTTTTTTAAACTACAAAATTCTGATGCATATTGAAGTTTTATAGTATAAGTACATAGTATTTCTTTGTTGTATGCTTCTGCACTTGTTATTGATGTTTTGTCTGCTTCTAGCTCTATTCAAATAATTTATGTAGATAACTGGAAAATTTTAGCTTTGTTTTAATTACCCAGATAGTCAAGAGAAAGGTGGGGTGGAGTGTTAATTAAGTAGATTAGTTAAGAACACTCTCCACATATTCTGAATAATTGCCCTTCACGATGCTATATAGACCTCAAATCAGAATACTATTGGGCCACAAACCAGTATTATAATTTTTATCCCAAATCTTTTGTGAATAAGTTAGGGCATGAATATATAATATATTGTTCTCACTCAGAACAAGGTAGCAACATTGCTGAAAGGATTTAAAGTTTGTGGTGCACTGAAGTTAACCAGAGCAACAAAAGCTAAGTCCAGCTCAACTAATGACTAGTTGGAATCAACCCACAGTGTTAGTGGTCTAACAGGAGAAGCATGCTCATTTCTGCGAATATATTCTTTTACCTCAATCTCTACTGTTCTTCTACATAAAATATTTAGCATTAAATTAAAAATTATAAGACAAAAAAATCAAAATGAAATGACCCATTTCAAGAGATAAAGCAATCAGTGGAACCATATCCAGAGATGACTCAGATGTTGGCATTCACAGAAAGGGACATTAAAATAACTATGATTAATATGTTAAAGGATCTAGTGGAAAAAGATGGAAAATATGTGTGAATAGATAGGGATTTTCAGCAGAGAGAAGGATGCTGTGAAAAAGTAAAATGGGAATACTAAATATGAAAATATAGGAGGTGAACATTTTCCATAGTGGATTTATCAGCAAAAGAAACCTTTGGTGAATCTGAAGATAAACTGAAATTATCCAAAGTAAAACACAGAAAAAAAGAGTAGGAGTGTGGAACAGAGTGTCCAAGAACTGGGGGAACCTATCAGGGGTTCCCAACTCAGGGATTAGTAGACTTTCTCTTAGGAGTCCATATAGTAAATATTTTAGGCATATAAACTATATGATCTCTCACAGTTACTCAGTTCTGCTGTTAGAGTGCAAAAGTAGCCATAGACAATTTATAAATGAATAGGCATGGATGTTTAAAAAATTATTTATAAAAATAGATCCATAGACCATAGTATGACAATACCTGGTCTAACTCATGTGTAATTGGAGTCCCAAAATATGAAGAAAGAGAACAAGGAAAAAGAAATTTTTGAACCAATAATGACCAAAATTATTTCAAAATTACTGAAAGATGACAGGATGCTCAGAGGATTCCAAATAAATTAAAAAAATAATAATACATAAATAAAAAATAAATCTAGGTCCATTAGAGCCAAACTGATGAAAACCAAAGATAAAGAGATTATCTTGAAGACAGCCAAAGCAAAAGGAATCATATATATCGAGGGCCAAAGATAAGGACAGAGAATTCCTGAAAGAATTGCTGAAGGCAATTAAGGGAAATCTTTACAGTGTTGCAAAGTGGGGAAAATCTTGTATCCAAAGATATCTTCAAAATGAAGGCAAAATCAAGACTTTCAGACAAAACCTGAGAAAGTTAAATATCAGCAGATTTATATTACAAGAAATAATTAAAGAAAGCTCTTCAAGGCAGAAGAAAATGATACCAGATGGAAAAATGGATCTTTATAAAAAAAATTAAGAGCCCTGGGAGGGAAGCAATGTAGCTATAGATAAGATTTCTTTTTTCCTAATTTAAATTTTTTTATAATATGTAAAGGAAAAATAGTAAGACTCTATTGCAGGCATATGATTCTTTTAAGTAAGATATATGATACCAATACAGACAAATGGAAGGGGACAAATGGAGATAAATTGTTATAAGGTTCTCCAGTATGTGAAGTTGTGTAATACTATCTAGAGGTAGACCGCTGGAAGTTAAAAATGTACATTGTAAATCCTTGAGTAACCACTAAAAAAAGTGTGAGAGAGGTACAATTAAATAAGCCATTAGTGAAGATAAAATGGAATGATTACAAATCTCAGTCCAAAGAGGGGGGATAAAGGAACAAAGAACAGATGGGACAAGTCAAAATCCAAGAGGTATATGATTAGATTTAAATGCACCCTGTTGATAATGACATTAAATATTTATTCATTTTCTGTTAATATATAACAAATTTCCTCCAATCTGGTGGCTTAAAACAACACTCATAGTTCATAGTTCTCAACCCTGATAGCTCATAGTTCTGTGTGTCAGAAGTCAGCACAGTATGGCTGGGTTTCCAGCTTAGGGCCTCACAAGTTGAAATGGGTTGCAGATGGGTTGCAGCACTTTCTGGTGGCTCCTGGGAAAAATGTGCTTTCTAACTCACTGAAGTTATTGACTGAATTCAGTTCCTTACTATTGTAGGAAGGAGGCTTCTGTTTTCTTGCCACCTGTCAGCTGGGGGCTGATAACATCTTTTAGAAGATACCTTCATTTCTTGCCTTGTGACTCCCTCTTGTCTTCAGATCCACAATGGAGAATCTTTCTCACCAGGAGAACCTTATCTCTTTAAGGGCCTACCTGATTAGGTCAGCATCACTGATGATGATCACTCATTCTTCAAGTCAGCTGTGTCTTATAATGTAGCCTACCTATGGCAATGATATTTCATCACTGATTCTAGATTCCTCCCTTCTAGATTCATATATTATACAAGGGTGTGAGTCATTGGGGGTCCTTTTAGAATTTTGACTACCTCACAATATCAGTGATTTTACACAGTCCAATGAAAGCCAGAGATTGTTAGTTTGAATAATAGTGCTAGACCCAAGTCTGTGTTTAAATTGTTTAAACTAGTCTTTCAAGGAAAGGGTGGTGATAGCTATAAAATGTATGAGAGGAAAATATCTATATCAATGTATTTTTGCCTTTAAAATATGGAGACATCTGAATGGTACTGAGATTTTTTTTTTTCTCTAATTTCACTGAAATGCCTATCCTTGAAGGCTACCTAATGTAGCCTTTATGATAGATCAGTAAATGAAGAGCTGTAAATGAACAACAATAGGGGCAGTTTGTTAAGTTTGGATCCTGGTAATATTTTTATTTCCCTTTTTTTTTATTTTTAAAATCCTTATAAGCAATGTAAATTAAGGGTTTTGACTACATTCTCTAGGACATGAATGGCAAGATGAATTTTCTCGTATTATGGCAATGACAGATCCAGCTTTTGGATCTTCAGGAAGACCTATGCTGGTTTTATCTTGTATTTCTCAAGCAAATGTAAAAAGAATGCCCTGTTTTTATTTGGCTCATGAGCTGCATCTAAATCATCTAAACCACCCATGGATGGTAAGGTCCTATCTTCTCTGGTGAGGAAAATCTTATTTTTTCCAATGCTCTCTGTTTGATTTTATTCTTTTCTACTCATTATCTTTAATGAAATCGCATTCTTTTTTTTTTTTTTTTTTTTAAAGATTTTATTTATTTATTTGACAGATCACAAGCAGGCAGAGAGGCAGGCAGAGAGAGAGGAGGAAGCAGGCTCCCCTAGAGAGCAGAGAGCCCGATGCGGGGCTCGATCCCAGGACTCTGAGATCATGACCTGAGCCGAAGGCAGTGGCTTAACCCACTGAGCCACCCAGGCGCCCCGAAATCGCATTCTAAAGTTAATTTTAATAGCTTTATCAGTGGGAGACTATTGTTTGGTATCAATGTTTCACCTATCATTTGCTCACTACTTGTCTCTTCTATCATAGATATAGTGAGATAGCATTTGGAGATTTTTTTTTTTAAGATACCAGTATCACTTTTTTTCAGCATTAAAATATGCTTTAAGGGTCATCAGAAATAAAAATTTCATCTTATTTTTTCTTTCCAAATTTTACTTTAATCATGGAATCTTTTTTTCAAATGAAACTTTACATGAAGCCCCTAAGTAAAATAAAGGAAAATAAAAATTGGAAATGATTATGCTTAATAAGTTAAAGGATTTTCTTCCTTCCTTCCCATATACCTCCTGTGGAATCCTGAAGACTCTTTGGAACACAGTTGGAAAGCTACTGATAAAGGTGTACCTTCCTAAGTGGTAGGCTAGGAAGAGTGGCAGTCTTAAAAAGTACATTTTTGCGATACTGAATATCACATTTATCAGCTGACTAGCTGAGTTCATTTAAAAATGTTTTAGTTTTCAAAGTAGATCCTTTAGAGCAATTTTTTTCTAATACATACAAATAAGTCATAGAAATGGTAGTTCTTCCCCTTCCCAAAACTGAATTTCAAGATAAGCAATAAGCCTCATATTGGTAATAATTATAAGTAGAAGATCATATTTTTTAATCTAAGTTCTCTAGAAGAAAAATGACTCACCCAAAGTTTGTTAGGATTTTAAAAATCCTGTTCTTTTTTTAGTATCTAGAAAAAAGTTTCTTTTAATAATAAGATTTTGGGCTCAGTTTCTTACAGTGGTCTCTCTTATCTGCTCATAGGTCCAGGATACAGAGGCTGAAACTCTAACTGGTTTTTTGAATGGCATTCAGTGGATTCTTGAAGAAGTAGAATCTAAGCATGCAAGATGAGCCTTCTTTTAGACCTTGGGAACTGAAACCACTTGAAACTTGTTACTAAGGTCATGATGTGGATATTTGCTCAGCTAATTTTGTCCTGCCTTTTTGCAGGTGGGCTTTATATTGGGACAGCTGTAACTGCTGTGTTTTTTACATAATTTTTATTTTTTACCTTAAATCAATTACAAGAAAAAAGTTTCAGTGCTAGCATTTAGCCCCTGAACTTTTTTTTGATGACTTTTATATTTTCTTTTTTAAAATATTAAATTCTGTAAAGAACAAGTTTGTACTTCTCTCATTCTTTGTGATTTCTAGTTTCAGTTTAAAGGTTGCCCTGGTGGAGAATAGCAAATTTGCTAAGCTTTCTATAGGTTCTTCTTAAGGGTCCTTAACTGGTTATTAAAAAGAAGTTTTTATCTATTTTTAATAAATATACTGCTTAAAGACTGGAATATTCATTGGAATTGCACTTATTGTTATGGTGATACAGCTTCTGTTTTTTTTTTTTTTTTTTCCTGAAACAGTAGAAATTAACTTTATATCCTATTTAATCCTAATTCAGTGAAAATAATTTTCCTGGAAGTTTTGCACTTACTGTTATGGTCATACAGCTTCTGTTTTGTTTTTTTTTTTTCCTGAAACAGAAATTAACTTTATATCCTATTTAATATTAATTCAGTGAAAATAATTTTCCTGGAAGTTTTTGCTATTTCACATAACCAAAAGTTCATAAGATTTTTTATTTTATTTTATTTATTTATTTGTCAGAGAGAGAGAGAGAGAACACAAGCAGGCAGAGCGGCAGGCAGAGGCAGAGGGAGAAGCAGACTCCCTGCTGAGCAAGGAGCCCAATGTGGGATTCGATCCCAGAACCCTGGGATCATGACCTGAGCCAGAGGCATCGGCTTAACCAACTGAGCCACCCAGGCATCCCAAAAGTTCATAACATTTTAAAGCCAACTTCTATTCCACAGTCGTAGAGAAAACATTCCATAAGACATGATTATAAGACCTTCTCCTCACAAATTGCAGAGGAAATGTTATATACATTTCCTATCTCATTAGAACTGAGGGATTTTAACATTATAATAAGAGCACAGTATTTGGGTTAGGATTAGAGTTAGACTTAAAAAAAAAAAGTTTAGTAGTACTAAGATACAGCCTATAATCCATGAGTGGGTGCTGCTCCGAAAAAGGGAGTTCCTACACCTGGGTACACTCATTCAGAACTTGGCTTCAGCAACATGTAGTTGAGGGCAGGATGGAAAATGCTGACAATCTCCCTCCCAGGAAGACACTTCTCTAATTTAGAGAGGTATTATGGTTCTTCTTCCTTGGCTGTCCCAGTTTAGATTGGAGTTTCCATCTTGCTGATTTGAAGGAAGGATGGAGTGAGTGAGTCTTGGTTCAAATCCCAGACACTTGATGTTCTTACTGAGTTTTAGTAGTTTTTTTTTTTTTTTTTTTGAAAATATTTCTTCATTTTCTGTATGCTTTGGGACCATTTATGGAGACTTTAAATGTTTTTTTTGTTTTGTTTTTTAATAAGTTTCTCCAGTATCTCTAGGGAGCCATTCCACAGAACCACTCATGTTATTATGCCAAAAGTAGGTCTCCCTATTTTCTTTTTAATATTTGTAGTACGTCATCTCATTCATTCCTGATGTTGGTAATTTATATCTTTTTTCTTCTTGATCAGTCTAACTTAAGTTTTATTGATTTTATTATTATTCCTAAAAAACCCTACCTTTTGGATTTGCTGATTTATTCTATATTTCATTGATTTATATATACCCTAATATTCTTTCCTGCTTTAAAATTTGTTTTGAATTTTTATTCAGTTTTCTCTTTTCTAGTTCTTTAAGGTAGAAATTTAGATAATTGATTCTATTCTTTTTTTAAAACATTAATTAATTAATTATTTTAAGTAGGCTCCATGCCCAGTGCGGAGCCCAGCACAAGGCTTGAATTCACAACCCTGAGATCAAGACCTGAGTTGAGATCAAGAGTCAGGCGCTTAACTGCCTGAGCTACCCAGGTGTCACTGTTCCTTTATTTTTTAAAAATAATCATTTAAAGCTATTGATTTCCTCCTTAGCCCTCTTTAGCTTCATGTAATTTTGAAATATTACGTATTTATTATTATGCAGTTAAAATATTTTCTAACCCTTTGAGATTACTTTTCAATCCATGGATTATGTAGTAGTGTTGTTTAATCTGTTAGCTATATATTTTATTGTTCTTGATACCTGATTCAATGTCTCTTTTTATCAGAGAACATTTTAAAATTTCAATCTTCAAATTTGTTGAACGTTGCTTTCTAGCCCAAGTTATGATCTATTCTGGTAAGTATGTCACATGCACTTGAAAGAGTTTATATTCTGTAGTTGTTAGGTGGAATATTTTATAGCTATCTATTAGGTAAAAGTAATTGATAATGTTCAGATATTGTATATTGGCTATATAATTTTTTTAAAGATTTTATTTTTAAGTAATCTCTACACCCAACATGGAGCTTGAACCCACGAACCCAAAATCAAGGATCACTCACTCTGAGCCAGCCAGGTGCCCCATATTGATTTTTATCTAGTAGTTTTATCAATTACCAATAGGCATTAAAATCTTTATGTAGAATTGCCTATTTTTTAACTGTCAACTTTTGCTTAATGTGTTTTGATGATGTTTTTAGGTGCACATACATAGACGACTTATATTTTTCTGATTAGTTAACCCTTACCTATCATTATTAATGTGTCCTTTTTGCTGATAATACTCATTGTAAAATTCGTTCTCTAACATTAATATAATCCCTTCGATATTTAAAAAAATACTGATCTCCTGATATATCCATTCAACCTAAATCTGTCTTTATGTTTTAAGTTTATCTCTTGTAGATAGAATATAGCACATTTTGCCTTTTTCTTTTCCATTCTGGTACTATACCTACATTTTACTTAGAATGTTTAGATCATTTACATTTAGTGTGATTATTGATATGATTGGCTTCAGATCTACCATTTTATTACTTGTTTATCCCCTCTTCCCTATTGTTGTTTCTCTGTTCTTTCTATTTTGGATGTTTCATTGTCTTTTGGAAATTGATTTAAGTTTTTCTATTGGTGTTTTTTAGCATGTCTCCTCATTTTTAGAGGTTGCTGTAGTGATTGCAACATATTTCCGTAGCTTTTGAAAGTTTTCTTACAGTTAACCTTGCACCAATTTGTGTAATAAGTACAAATGTTGTAACTGTGTGGATTTCATTATTCTTCAAACCACTCTTTGTTATAGCTGTTAAGTGTAGTATACCACTATATGTTATAAATCTCAGATGACAGTTAACAGTTTTTGCTGAAACAGTTCATATATATTAAAGAGAAGTTAAAAAGAAACATATTACAAAATAATGAAAGTGGTCTTTTATTTTTTCAAGATATATAAAATCCTGGGTTGACAATTTTATTCGTTCATCACTTTCAAGATGTTCTTTTGTTTTCTTCTAGCCTCTGTAATTTCTGATAAGAAGTTATTCACCAATTACACCTTTATTCTTTTGTATATAATCGACTTTTTTTTTCTCTTCTTTCAAATTTACTTTTTATCTTGGTTTTCAATGGTTTAACTACAGTGTGTCTTGGAAGGCCTTGTTTATAATTATCTAGCTTGGGAGTTACTACTTATTGAATATTGAAATTCATGTCATTTACCAAGTTTGTGAGATTTGGGGTCATTATTTCTTCAAATGTATTTTCTTCCCTCTTCTTTCTTGCTCTCTGGGTCTGTATTGTGTAACAACATGGTTTATATTATTTGTTATTATAAGCTGTCTCTGAGGCTTTGCATTTGTTTTTCTTTCTGTTCTTCAGTTTGGATCATTTCAATTGATTAATCTTAAGGTTTTCAAACTCTTTATATTTTGTTAAATCAGTCTTGTGAATTTTTATAATTTATTATTGTATTGGTTCTATAATTTCCGTTTGGTTGTCTTTTAAAATTCTATTTTTCTTCTCAGATTTTTTTCTTTTTTTTTTTCATTGAGGTCATACATTCCTGTATATTGCTGAGAGCGGTTGTAACAGCTGCTTTAATATCCTTGTCTGCTGAGGCACCTGGGTGTCTCAGTTGGTTAAGCATCTGCCTTCTGCTTAGGTCATGATCCCAGGGTCCTGAGTCCATGCTCAGCGGGGAGTCTGCTTCTCCCTCTCCCTCTGCACCACCCTCCCCTCACCGCCAGCTTATGCTTTATCTCCCATTCTTTATCTCAAAAAAATGAATAAAATCTTTAAAAAATAAAATAAAATAAAATCCTTGTTTGCTTTTTCCAAATTTGGAAGTGTTTGTTTTAGTTTTGTTATTGTCCTTTTTTGTTGTTTTTTTTTAATTAAAGTAATGAGAGTCATTTTCTTTCTTTCTTTTTTTTTTTTTTTTGTATCTTGCAGAATTTTGTGTTCTGAAAAATATGAATGTTAAGTTGTGGAGACTCTGGCTTCTGCTATTTTTCTCCAATGTGTGACTTTTTTTCCTTTTGTTTAAACAGTTAACATGGTTAGACATAAATTGCAAACTCTGTTCCTTGAGCAACAGTTCTACATTCAGTTTATCTTTATATTTAAGTGAGCAGCTTGAGTTGGTTTTTCACACAAAGTTCAGCCAAAGATATAGACAGAGAATTCAGTGATCCCTTTCCTGGCTTTTTCTTTTTTGAGACTCGTTTTTCCTTTCTAGTGGCTGTAGTTGTCCTCAGCAAAATCAGGACAGTTTTTTGCTTTTCAGATCTGCTCTCTTTTTTTTTTTAAACCTTTTTTTTTTTTTTTTTTTTCAGAGATCACAAGTAGGCAGAAAGGCAGGCAGAGAGAGAGGGAGAAGCAGACTCCCTGCTGAGCAGCCCTATGCAGGGCTCCATCCCAGGACCCTGGGATCATGACCTGAGCTGAAGGCAGCGGCTTAACCGACTGAGCCACCCAGGCACCCCTGCTCTGTCTTTTGTCAAAATTCCTGTCAGGGACTCAACAATTTATTTTCACGTTTGGAGTTCTACTTTTTTCACATTTGGAGTTCACATTTGGAGTTTGCAATCTAGTATAGCAATCATATTATCATTAAAAGCTTCAGTGGTCTTTTTCTTATCCCAGCAAAATCTATCTTCTTTTGACAGGTGTGATATTCCACACACAACACCCAGACTAGGCAGTTGGTTCTATAAAAGCAACAGCTCTTTGATCACCAAAAGAGCCTATTTAATCCTTGGAATTTATTTAGACTTTTTGTACCAACT